AGGCTTATTTTCAAATGCAAGCCTTTGACGACTATATTCTGATTAATGTGGAATTCTATTTAATACACTTTAAATTAATGATGCTTTACATCTAGTTGACTTGTGACCTTTCTCTGCTGTAGTCCGCTTATAATATTAGTCCAAGTTTTTTGGTTTTTCAAGATTTTCTACCCTCTTTTCTGTTTGGCCTGTTCACACCAGTGACGTTATCTATACAATAACTACATTAGCATCCACACCAAAGGACAGTAACATTCTGTTTATTGTAAGCATGCACTGCAATTCTGTCATCTGCCACTTTAAATTTTCAAGATTTTTAAAGGTGGATTCTAATTGGCTGTCAATGCTTTTAGCATTCATCTGCTGAAAAAACATTCTGAAAGTCATTCCAACAATATCATTCCTTTAGGTCGTTATAATAGCTGTGGAATGGACTTCTCTATTCTTATAGAATTAGAACAATTATTAAAACATTATAGTGATAGTTATTGACAGTCATCATCCTTGAACATGTCTTATGGCTTCTGTTTGCAAATTTGCTTCTAGTGATGTGATAGCTGCATTATTCTTTGGTGGAAAAACCTCTTTAGTCATTCAAAAATAACTGTAATTAGACTAAATATGTTTTGACGTGTTTTATAAGTGGGAATTTTTGGAAGGTCTTAAAAATGTGAAATGGACTCTCCCTGTCTACTCCCTTTGACGTCATGATTCATGTAGGATGGTCTCAAATTAAGTGTTTGGGACAGTGTGGGTTCTTTTTGTGCCAGCTGACAGTGTACATCACTTTCCTGACTCATTTCCAGAGTAATTAGTAAGAAATAGTAATATCTACCCTATATAATTGCTATTACCTCACAGTGACTGGGTCCTTTTTAACACAGAATATGCTAGCTGACAAATAAATGTATCATGTATGTCATGAATAGGGATTTTTCATGTCAGAAATCTGAGGAAGAGCTGTTTTTTCAGCTTTGTTTTAATAACAGTAGTGCAGTGACTTTGCAGAAGATCAAGGAAAATTTGATTAGCCATAATATGACCACTTTAAATGGAATAAAACCAGCTAATACTGTCTTTGAGCTCTTAGTGACTCGTGTTTCATGGGATGCTCCACATTATAAGTGCAACGCTGTACCAGGTGAGCTATTGAGCAAGTTTACTATATCAGGAAATCCATATGGAGCTGATTATGTGATGAAAATGTTAAAATGCATTAGTTTACAAATCATGCACTATGGCAAAAGTATTGTGAGATAATGTAGTATTGTGCAAGAAAACATGCAAAAATAAATCTATATTAATCACTATTATGAGCTTGTAATTATAACTTGTGTGAAAAGGAATACAAGTTGTTGGAGTTTTACTGCAACTAGTGTTCATTTCAGCTGGAAAATGCAGTGAATTGTATGTATAGGTATGTTTTTTGGAGTTTTGCAAAAATTTAGGTAGAGACACATTTTTCCAGTTAGCCTGTGTTGGATTCTTTATATGCGAGTCATAACCCTTGTCAGATTTATTCAGCATTGGCACTCATTGAGGTAGGACCGAGTTACCTTTTTGGGCTTTTCGCTTGGCTGTAAGTGTCTGTCCAGGTCAAGGGGCTTCTGTCTCCACAGCGAGATACTCACTGGTCTGAAGAGATCACCCTCAGGCACCAGCTGGAGCTCTGACAGATGGTGTCAATACACTGCATATAGAGAGCGAGAGAGAATGAAATGGGATGAGAGCAACAAAATGAGACGAGAGTGCGGAACACTTGGTTTGGTGAGTCACAAGTGATGGATACCGAGTACGTCTGTCCTTGGTGTGTGATGTGACTGCTGATTGGTTCTGACAGGCCTTTTAGAATGGTCGTCAATCTCAGGACTGAAACTCTATTGGACCGTACTGGATCAGAGGGGTGTGGCCTCAAACTTTTACACAAGTTAAACTGTCATAACTTTAAAGCAGTAGTTCATCTACTAATAGTTCATTTACCCGGGTAATGTTATTTACAAGCAATATGACATTATATGGTAAACAAAAGGAGATAAGGATGTCTGTAGACGTTGTCTTTGTAAATGTCTTTGTAAATCTTAAGGACCATATATATATATATTTTTTTAAATCACCCAGCCATTATCAGCTGAACACACTGTTAAGTTTATACCTTACATACATAGTCCTTAAATATGTGTGTGTGTGTGTGTGTGTGTGTGTACCTGTTTTTCTATTCTGCTGGGGACTTAAACCTGAATATACACACAGACTCGTGGGGACCTAAATTGAGGTCCCCATGGGTAAACAAGCTAATAAATCACACAGAATGAAGATTTTTGAAAATCTAAAAATGCAGAAAGTTTCCTGTGAGGGGTAGGTTTAGGGGTAGGGTTGGTGTAGGGCAATAGAATATACGGTCTGTACAGTAGAAAAACCATTACGCCTATGGAGAGTCCCCACAAGGATAGCAAACCAGACATGTGTGTGTATTTTCGTCTTGTTGCAAAATTGGTCTTAAATTCTTTTTAAAATAATAACATTTTTGGTGTCTCAAATGACCCGCCAAAGTTAAAAGTATTGCTCTCTTTTTTTTCATTACATGTTTTAAAATGCAGAAATGCATTCTGTGTAAATGCCCCCGCCCCTCTTTTATTTTAATGCTAATAATAATAATAATAAACGTATTATTTTCCCCACACTACATTTCTCAAACCCCTTTCATGGTCACTGACGCGTGTTTGCATGGCATGTTTCATGACTTACATTTGAGTCTGTTTCTTACAAAAAGCTTCTTGAACCACTTTCAATATATTTTAGGGTGGTTTTTAGTTTTTATATTATGTTTTGAGGCTTGATGTATCCATTTCCTTTCATAAAATGGAAAAGAGCAGCATAGACACTACACCTGCCAGCATTGTTGTAGTTAGTTAAAACTATTTTAAAAAAAGGGTTAATTTAAATAAAGTTGAAATAAAATAGAATACAATGTAAAACTAAATGAAAAATTAGAATACTAAGTGAAATAAGTTTAAATACTGAAACAAACTGAAATAAAACAAATGAAATAAATGGAAATACAAATAAAAGATTTTTGTTGTAATAAAAAGGATACATAGCAAAAGTGCTAAAATAAACTGAAAATATAAAAAAAGCCAATTAAAAATGTTAATAATAATACAGGCTAATAAATAATACAAACAAACAAAAAAACACAGCTTTCTATTCTGTTCCACAAAAAAGAAAGAAAGTCATGCGGTTTGGGAACTACATGAGGGTGAGTATATGATGACAGAATTTTCATTTTTGGGTGAACTATTTCTTTAAAATTCTTTATTCCTGCTTGTCCACATCCAGCAACATCAAAAGCAATCTAGATGTGAAGCATCAAACGTATGCAGGAGTCTCTGTAGAGCGTGTTTGTCAGTAGGCCCGCCTGAGGAAATGTTCCCATAATGCGACCCGTAGTCAAAGCTGCAGCGCTGCCTCATGACCTGCTGACTGCACAGTTTGGATCACACACATTTAGAAACATGTTGGTCATTAATCAAAATGATTGACAGCTCACTTCACCCTGTTTAGACATATTTATTGCCACTTCTGTGATGTATGCGTGATGTCTGTGAGATCCACGGCTGACACGAAAAGAATCTGGATATGAAAGAAACGGATACTTCATCAAATTACTCACCGTTAGATCTAAAACGCATGAATAATGTTTTTTAAAATGCATGAATAATGTTCCCCAGGAGAGCTGGGAGATTTTTGTCATGGAGTGAGTAGAAGTGTGCCTTTTTGAAATGCTATCGTTTGGAAACTCTGGAGATTCGCCGACTAATTAGGCTTATTTGCATGCAGTGGAAGCGAGCAGCTGACAGCGTCCACTGCCGGCCAAGAGAAAGATGCTTTTAATGAGAGCTCACTGCTGTGTTAAAGGAGTCCCCTGCCTCCTCAGGCCTACACACATGTGCGCGCACACACACACACACTCACACAAACAAGTGACATGTAACCCTCCTCTGAGGCTCCGCCCCCACAGCCACATTGCCCTGGCTACATGGCTGTTACCTTTCCAATTCAAAATCAGGGTGTTAATTATGCCGTTATTATTAACAGCTCTATTTCAGGTTGAACATGCTAAGCTGAAATCTGTTTAAGATTAGCAAGCGAAGTTATAAACAGAGTTGTAGTAAAGGATTCTGATGATGTGATGTTGCAGTTAGACAAAAACACTGGTAAAATTGCTCTTAAAGGAACAGTTCACCCAAAAAAAAATAAAAAAATCTGTTAACTTCCTCTCAGGCGATCTGAGATGGTGACTTACTTTCTTCAGTAGAATGTTGAAGATGATTTTAGCTGAATCTATGGTCCTTGCTAATTCACAAAATGCAAGTCATTGGGTTCCGATAGTCAAAAAAGCTGGTACAGGAAACATAAAATGAATACCTATGGCTCCTGATAATGTATTGAGGTCTTATGAAGCATTGCCTTGCATTTTATGAATCACCAAGTGCAATGGATTCAGCTAAAAATCAAAGATAATTTGAGGAATGCTGGTAACCAAATTTCTGAAGCTAGCCATTTAATTATATTGTTGTTGTTTTTTTCCTCCATGCTATGGAAGTCAATGGCTACCATCAACTGTTTGGGTACCAACATTCTTCAAAATATCTTTTTTTTTTGTGCTCCGCAGAAGAAGAAAAAAATCTCACCCAGGTTTGGAAAAACTTGGGGTGAGTAAATGACAGAATTTTTTGTTTTTTGTTGAACTATCCCTTTAAAGGGACCTCAAAGAAAATTCTGACATTTATCTATATATATAAACCATCTGAAATGCTGGGTCCATATGCTTTTATGGAAATATAAGTGGAAAACATGGCTCCATCACTTCTTGTTTATTAGATTGAGATTTTAACCTCATAGCTTTTTGTTTTAAGGGAAAAAAGCAAGCAGCAAAACTGATTTTATTCATATTTGCATGATTAGGAGATCAAGTGTATGGTGTTAATGTTGTGTTCCAGACATCATCTCACCCAAACACCACACAGAGAGCCACAACATCGCTTGAGATTAACCCTGAGCTCTACAGTCACCTTGAGCGGAGAGGCTCATGGGAGGTAATTGTGCTCTGACAGAGTCTGTGGCGCTACAGGCGAGGATCCCCCTCCACACTCTCCCATACGCACACAAATATACAGATCACTCGCCTGTCATTAAAGCCTGAAGCAAGAGCCCCCTTAGGGACAGAGATGGATGAGGTGTCAGTCCTGAACCTGTCCACAGAGACACAGGAACCTGTCAACCTAACCAAACCGCTCCACAGCCAACCATTAGAGCTTCACACATGGCCCACAGCTGCCCGTCATCCGCTCCGGCTGGGCTTCAGAAAGCTCGCGGCTCGCCGGAGCCTCTCATTCAGGAAGAGCTGAGCGGCTGATAGGCCCGGACAAAAGAATTGGCTCCACAAAAGTGAGCCATCAGGGAGGACAATAGGAAGCCAATTCATCAATTTCAAGAGCAGCTTCACCTTTAGTGCAGTTTAAGGTACTGTAAATTTACAAGAAACGAAGGAGTTCTGGGAGACATAGTCTAAGAGACATGTAAAGACTTGGAGAGATGTATGGTGCTCGCTGGCACAATGCTTTCACCGATACCTCTTTGTCTGGCTGTACTGCTATATTTGTAACCCCATTACAAAAATGTGTAACTAGGTTTTTGCATTCTGGAAAATCATTAAAACAAACTGAAAGTGAATATGTAGTCATTTAGCACAGGGGTTTCTGACTATGGAGTCCTTAAGGGGACATGATGAAAAAAAATGAGATGGGAGGAAAAATGACATTGCAATACTCAAATACTGCAAGTACTTGAAAATTAAACCCTGAACACTTTTATCCAAAGATCACACCTACAGTTCTTTGGCACATCAGTAACATCTAATAACATCACATTTAATAACATCTAGAGTCTTGATTACACTGTTTGTTGTTTTGTGTCCATATTTACCAGGCCTTTCTCAGAAATGATCACAGAATCAGTGTTATTTGCTGTTGGACATCAGCCCTTGTGTTGGTCCATCTGGAGTGCCTTTGTCAGTGTTGAATCATCATGGATATTATTAAAGGAATCTGCAGCATTTCTCTCAAAAAGTTAATTTCCACATAAATTAGATTTATCTCTCGGTTTACTCAAAGAATGTTCAGTAAAGCTTTGGCGTGGCAGCTTGTAGCTAAAGTAAACCTTTGTTAGCCTTGTCAGTAAGACCACAACTGCTATTGCTTCTGTGCATATTAAAACTTTACTTTAAAAACATTGCAACATGCAATTCATATTTGTGCAATGTCTTATTAGTTCCATGTCTTTGCAGAGATTGATGTGTTGACCACTTGTGAGACGGTTCTTTAAGGTAATTAAGGTTTTATATTTTTAAAGGAGTAGTACACCCAAAAATGAACTTTTGCTGAAAATGTACTCACCCTTAGGCCATTTGGATGAGTTTGAGTTTGTTTCTTTGTGGAAACAGATTTAGAGAAATTTAGCATTGCATCACTTGCTCACCAGACTGCAGTGAATGGGTGCCGTCAGAATGAGAGTCCAATCAGCTGATAAAAACATCACAGTAATCCACATGACTCCAGTTCATCAATTAATGTCTTGTGAAGGGAAAAGCTGCATGTTTACCAAATCCATCATTCATGCATTTTAACTTTAAACTGTCGCTTCTGGCCAAAATATGAGTCCATAATAACACTTAATTCTTCCAGTGAAAAAGTCTATCCCCTGTTGTTCTCTAATATCAAAATCCAAACATATTTTTTTCCAACTGTTTTCACTTGCAAACAGTACTAAATCTGTGTATATTTCTCTTCTTAAATCAAACAAGACAACTCTTTCACTGGAGAAAGAAATATTATAGATAGAGGACCCGTATTCAGGCCAAAAGTGGCGGTTTGTAGTTAAACACCCTAATGATGATTTTGTTTCTTACAAACATGCAGCTTTTCACTTCACAAGATGTTAATTGATAGCCTGAGGATGAGTGAATATTCATCAAATTTTCATTTTTAGGTGAATTACTCCTTTAAGCACATTTTGGGAATTTCTTTTGCATGTATTTGTTTCCATCCAGCAGTTTTTTTTTTTTTTTTTCAAACAAGATCCCAAAAAGTATTTGGAAAGAAACCCGGCTCTATTCGCACAGTTCTAAGGATGTTTTATCATGTAGTAGAAGCTGAACTACGAGAAGCAACTGCTGCTGTAACTTTTCTCAGTACTTTTTCCCCACAATCCTGAGCTGTCTGACATTGCCTTACATTGACTGTTTTCATGATTGGAGAACTTTCCAATTAAAAACTTTGTCTGACCCATTAAATGAACTATATTTTTGTAAAGTCAAGTTGACTCATGTTGAGCGTGCGTGGTTATATTCCTGCCACGGTCTTTCTTTTCAGTCGAGCTCCTATCACTTATTTTTTTAGGTTTTTTTATTGCTTTGTGATAAGCAAGAAAATACAAATCAATGCTGTACTTTCTGCTGAAGTGGTTTTCAAAAAATAGCTTTTTACTTTTAATTAGCATAGTCCAGAAATAAATAGTTCGGGGACGCAAAAACTCCTAACAATGACGTCTGGACTCAGCTGGAACCGCTCGTGTTATAGAGCTATTGATTTGCTAATTGTGCTCCGTCTCAGTTCTCTGTTCCTGTGGGTTGTGTTTAACCTACACGACTCTCTGAATTTCTCAGGACCGCAGCTTGTTAAAAAGAAACTCCTACACTTAACGTCTGAGAATGCATTGACTCGCTGTGCCCCTCTGGAAAAGGGTTTCTAACTTTGTAAAAAAAACTTGCAATTCTTCTTTTATCTCCATCCAAAAGATGTGACGTTCTTGGCAACAATACAGTGACTGGCAGCCTCCTTGATATTTTGTTTAGATGACTTTGATAGCGGAGACTACGGAGGATCTCCAGGGACTCTGGCGGGCCGAGGCATCCATAGAGCTTGCCACAGGTTGTCTCATTTCTGGATCTGTAGGGTGCTGCCGTGGTCCACGGGGTCGTCTCGACGTGTCTCTTATTCTCTCAACACCTGGGATTATGCAGTGTCTCTTTGAGTCTTAAAAGATTTGGACAAATCAGAAAGGGCAAGTCCAGCAAGACTGAACTGAAGCCCAGCTATGGATTCAGATAAGCCGACTTACTCCATGGATGGCGCAACTGTTCTCGGTGCAGTGAAACAGCTGCGTCCCTGAGCTATGGCTTTATGTTGGCTGCTTTCGTGCTGATCTCAGCACAGCTCTTGGCAGCCCCTGTCTGATGGTTCCCTGGTGTGGGCGCTATGAATAGCTCTCTACCCCTCTTCATTTCCTCCTGTGTCCTGGCAACACTGATCCGCTGGCTACCGGGTGCTGCAACACTGAAGCTGACAAAGCAAGGAGTGCAGAACTATCCAGAAAGCCAGATGTGAATGTGGGTCTGTGGATATATGTGTCCAATTGTGAATGGGAGAGAGAAATACAGAAAGCAAAATGTGTGGCTTTAAATACGTAATAGATATTGTATTTCAGGAAAATGCTCTGGTTGAGCTTAGAATGCATAACAGGATGGAAATGAAGAGCAAAGTTTGCGATTGCTCAGGGAGGGATGGACAGTTAGCTTACATGAGGGTGTTGACTTCAAGTTGATAACTTCTTTAAATTGACATAAATATTCAGAAATCAGTATGATATTGACTAACATAGTTTTTTTGTTTGTTTGTTTTTTTTCCCAACAAAAAGACATGGCTTTACAGAGGATGATGTCATTAAGGAAATGATTTTGAGGCACAGGTAAAACCTAAAAATGCATTGCTTAACAGCAGTAGGCTATTTATTAATAAAGCATATACATTCATATATATATATATATATATATATATATATAATGAGTGTGTGTGTGTGTGTGTGTGTGAGGGGCCGTACAAGCCACACCCACACCAAAGGATTGATTGGCTCCTCCATAATATCATAGTATTATTTGAAGTACTTTTGAGGGCCATGTAAACACCATGATAGTGAATATGGCACTCACTGTATATAATCAAAGTGCATGGTATTAGTATATGATAGTATCACTGTACCATGGTATTGCCTCACTTCAGTTTTGCAAGAGAAGGCAGTAAACACATGGCAAGCCGATTCTAAATTACCATTCTTTTCCAGCTTTTAAAGCTGTCATATTCACTCAAAATGAGGGCGAAGTTCAAAAGCCCTATTGCCTCTTGCTGCTATCATTTAAATTTGGGTCAGTATGTTATCTGTCTGAGACGAAAAACAAAAATGAAATGATGAATAAAAGGACCCCTATCCTCAGACTAAAAACAATTCCAGCGCAATCGGATTAAAGTGCCCGTCGTCTTTGCATCCACAATAGTGGCGCTTCACAAGCACATTGAGGAGCAGGTGGAGGCAGCGTCCAAGCCAATTCATTTGCACAATGCAGAGTCTCACTTGCCTTGATGAGCCATTGTCTTGGTTACAAGGGAATACAAAAAAAAAAAGAGGACATAACTGGCAGAAATGGGTACCGTGATTCTTTAGCGCCTAAATCCCCAGCTGGCCCGCAACTCGCCAGTCGGGTGTGTTAAAAGGAGCAGATATCAGAGTGTGGGTCGCTGCCAGTCTTCTGGCCTTGAGTAATTAGCCCGTTCTTCACACCATCGCTGAGCTCACCAGAGGAAGCAGCAGTGGGTCTGGAAGAATGCATCATACACATGCTAATACACACATACCCATGTACACTCTGCTCTACCTCATACCATTTCATATAATTTAAGAGCAGAATGTACACTATACAGATAATTATTTAGGCAATTATCCAAAAGTTACGACGAATTCGCTTTTCTTAAGTAGATTCAGTGATTACTTTTTACAGTGTACGTGAATAGTGCACCTAAAAGCTACCTACTAAAAGCTACAGCTTGCTACCAGAGGTGTAAAGTATTGGAGTAAATGTAATTAGTTACTGTACTTGAGTATCTTTTCGGATACTTTGTAGTTGTACTGAGTATCAAAGATATTAGCAACTTTTACTCAAGTATGGTTTTTAGGTACTCTTTACACCTCTGCTTGCTACTAGCTGTTTACTAGGTCTCTTGAAGCATCTTGGAGACGTTGCCACAGTTCTTCTGGATTTAGTCTGTCTCAGTTTGTTCTGTTTCTTCACGTCATTCCAGACAGACTGATGATGATCAGATCAGATCTCTGTGTGGAGCACTGGCTGCTGTCAGACAAAAATCTCACTGGATTATTACAATTAATGGCAAAATTAATGTTTGAAAATGTAAACGGTCATTTCCTACTGACTCACTACAGCAAAAGATAGAAATAACTGATAGAAATAACTTAAAACCATTTTTTAGCTGGCGAAAATAGTGTTCTAATATTTTTAGCCACTACTGTATATATTTTTATGCTTATTGGCTACTGTAAATGGTTGCTGTTTTTGCATAGGAATGAGTCTGAATACTTTTAAAATGGAGATTTTACCTCATAATTTTCCAATTTCCAGCCTTTTGAGTATGGTATGCAACATTACCAACAATAATGTAGTCCGTTTCCTCAAAAGTTGTAACAGTGTGAATAAGATTCATTATCATTAAAAGCTCATCGCTGCCCATTTAATTTTTCTTGTCCATTAGAAGTTTAACACAAGGGTTTTCTAGCTTCATTTGTTTTGTAAAAGATCTTGTTTGTGCAAAAGGTAGTCTTCT